ACATATCCTCCTTCCTGACCCTGTTCCCATTCGCACTCCTCAAGAGGCATAACGTATTCTTGGCATCTATGTAGAACGTACGCAACCAGGCGCCACTACTTGGTCCATAGCTCTCTCTCTCGTTCAGCGCACTGCTAAGTTCCTTGCTGCCTCTGTGCCACTGCTACCTGCCGTAAATCACTTGCGTCCGTTTTCTTAAACTCCATTCTCTCTTTCCCTGGCCGCTTTCAACCCCCTTCCCCCGACATTATCAAGCGCCTTGACGTTTTGGTCGGGAACTTTCTTTCCTCCTCTTGTTTCAAGGAACACGGCCTTGCGGTCCGTCTCATCCCTAATCGTCTCTTGTATAATTCCACCCGCCATGGAGGTCTTAGAGCAATCGCTTCTTCCACCCAAATACGCGCTCTAGCCGCTCATCGCACTCTTCACCGCTTTGGCGCCTCACCCATCAGAAGAGGTGGCGAGAGCGGCTGTCTGACTCCCTTTTAGCACACACTGTTTCTTGGCACACCATGCCATCCTCAAACCAGACATTCTACCAGCGGTGATTCCAAATCGAGAGCTCGCTTTATTATATGCAGTGATAGAGATCACTCCAGACATTGCCCCGCCCCGCCTCGTCCCTATGTGTATAATGGCTGAGCCAACCGCCTTCAACCGTTTTATTCTCAAACCGAACGGGAAGCCCTTTGGAAATTTGTCGCGTGAACGCTTCCTCCTAACCAGGCAGATTCGTGTCAGTCACCTTATACCCTTATCTTTCACTCACTTGGTGTGGTCTCCTTTAAACATTTTACCTCCGTGGTTCCCCTCGCCAACTCTTTTGCTGGACGGAGAGTGTGGCGAGACCTTGTCCGTGCTATCCCCAAGCCCTGGTGGTCAGCCCTTCGCTTCCCCCCCTCCCCCCTCGGCAACTCTCGGGGAGTGGTTTGTGTCAGAATAGTAGGTATAGTAAGAGGCCATAGCTAGGGATGACCTAGCTAGGCAAGAGAGAATGAAGCAAAGGAGGAATTTTGCACTAGCAAGGATGGGATACAAATAGCAAACCCTAGAAGGGTTGTACTCGCTATAGAGCACCCCACTGCAGGCTAGAGCATAATATTCTGACACACCCCCATAGCCAAAGTGGGGTGTAATCAGCAGAACAAGCAAGCAGTACAAGCTCAGGGTGGATCACAATGTCACCACACATTCTGAGCACAAGTTCAAAAGGCAATAGTTTAAAGTTCACAATAATGGGTAAAGCTAAAGCTGTCACAGAGGGCAAGCGAGGAGGAGGAGGGCTGGCGAGAGGAGAGAAGAGTGGAGACGACGACTGAAGCTGCAGACACACGGGCAACAGACGGCACTGGTGCAACTCTAGTGGCTACCGGACGCAGAGCCCCGGAATACAGGGGTAATATCCGCTGCAGAGGGTGCAGCGGACCCACGGGCGACAGGTGCAGCCGGCTCTCTGAGCTACCGGAGGTCCGCGGAACCCCGGAATACAGGTGCTGCGAACGACACGACGGCAACCTCCGCTCAACCTCCTCCAACTGCCCCACACACCCCCCACACACCCACTGCTGAAACCCTAGCTCCATTCCCACGGCACCCCCCTTAAACCCCAAACCCTAGGCTCCCACACACCACCCCCCTCAGCGGCAGCTGTAGCAGAGGGAGACTAGGGAGGAGGAGGAGGAGCAGGGAACGGCACGCAGTGTCTTCACCCCCATACCCCTCACCCCCAAACCCTAATTCAGGAGAACGGGCTGTAGGAGGGGTGGGGCGCCAGTAGAAGCACGGGGGACAGTGGGGAGGGCAGGGGCAGCGAGGAACGGGCCGCCCACGGGCCTGGCACAGCCGCCCGAACCGCGCGCAGGCGGCCCGAGCCGCGCGCGGGCCTGGCGCTTCCCGTACGGGCCGCGCGCGGGCCTGGCGCAGCCCGTACGGGCCGCGCGCGGGCCTGGCGCAGCCCGTACGGGCCGCGCGCAGGCCTGGCGCAGCCCGTACGGGCCGCGCGCCGGCTGTACGGGCCGCGCGCAGGCCACGACGGGCGACGGGAGGCGAGTCGACGGTGGGGGGGTGCGCGCGGGTCCCCGGAGGCGACGCGAGGGTCGACGGGGGCGACGCGACGTGCAGGGTGGGGGCCGCGAGTGCTCCCCAGGGCGCCGCGACGGACGGGCGGGGTGCGCGCGGGCTCCCCCACGGCTGGAAACCGCCGCGCGCCTCGGCGCGCACGGCGGGCAGGGAACCGCCGCGCGCCCCGAGCGCGCGGCGGGATGAAAAATTGAAGGCCGCGCGCCACGGGGCGCGCGGCACAGAGTAGGGCAGCGGAAGCAGTAGTGGGGCCCACAGGCCAAGAGCGTAACCGCTCTGATACCATGTCGAAATAGTAGGTATAGTAAGAGGCCATAGCTAGGGATGACCTAGCTAGGCAAGAGAGAATGAAGCAAAGGAGGAGTTTTGCACTAGCAAGGATGGGATACAAATAGCAAACCCTAGAAGGGTTGTACTCGCTATAGAGCACCCCACTGCAGGCTAGAGCATAATATTCTGACAGTTTGTCCCTGAAGACGATGCTGATTCCTCCCCCACTCTTGCTCTTCATGTCACGGTCTTCTCTCCCCCGTCATCGCTCTCAGCCTCCCTTCACCGTGTCCTTCCCAATCGGCTCATCGTCCGCTCATCATTCGGAGATGGCACTCTTAAAATAGGTGACCTCTGCGCGGTGCATGTCGTTGGGTCCTGGCTTGCAGACCCCTTCTATACAGGTGCAGGGCTCGGCGCGCGGCTTGACATTCTACAGGACGGAGGCCCAAGTGTAGCTGACATCCGTCGCCACCTCTACGCTCAGCTTCCACTTGACCACTCTGCCTGTTGGATCCACGTCCTCCCAGTCCCTCCACCTCTCATCCCTGACTTCTCCCACGATTTTCTACGCGAACAACCCAGTCTCCAACGCGATGTCCTGTACCGGTTCTACACTCGCACCCTTCCTTCGGGTTCGTTCAACTTTGCCGCAGATCGAGGGATTAATTCACGCTGCACTGCCGCACCCACAGGGACTATCTCCCACATCTTCTACGAGTGCGGGGTGGCCCCTGTAGTGATTTCTGCCCTCTCCTCCGTCGCTCGTTGTCACCTCCGCTGTTCTCCTCCTCCTGAGCTCTTGCTCATTCCACTCGCCTCTAGAGCTGGTCAGGTGGCCTTTCTGGAGCCTCTTGGTTGGAGCATCTGCAAAAGACATATGGAACGCACGCAGTGAACACAAGTTCCAAGACTCACCCTCCTCCCGATTTGAGATTCTCCAACTCATCCTAGCACAGTTCCTCATTGCGTTCAAAATCTTTCTCTGGCGAAGGAAAAAACAATCAGTGAAAAAACAACGACGCTCAGCCGCTCGTATCGAGCTGGCCACTCAATTTCGCTTCCTCGTTTTTTACCATGACGACACCCCTTCTATTCACCCTGACCTCCGCGCATCTTGGCTGCTTGATGACCTTTTCGCCCCCCTTATGCCTTCCTTTTTTTTAGCATAGAGAGCTCCCCAGCCATGCTGGTGGTTATCCGTAGGATATCGAGATAACGCGTTTCCTACGTACGCCTCTGAGCGTTTTGGTTTATGTAGACCATATCTCTAGCTTCTCTTTGCTTTGCTGTACATGGTTACGACCTATATATAACCTTTAGCTTAACCTTAACCATCCTATCCGTTATTAAATCTCTATCTTCTTCGTGCGTTCCTTTCTGCGTCGGGTTTTGTAGAAGCTTTTCACGCACTCATGTTTTGCTTCCCTTGTAACCACGCTTGCAAGAATGTGGTGCCCGGGTACGTTATTCAAAGTTGAGAGTGCGGCTACCGAATCCTCTACAAGAAGAGAACTCGTTGCAGTAAGTCATTTGAGTCGCAGTAAGTCATTCGTCGCAGTAAGTCGTTTGAGTCGCAGTAAATTTCAATGGTGACATTGGGTCGACTAGAAAAGTTATTACAGGAAGAAAACTGGACGCACTATGTCCTTTCCCATTGCTTGCGTGTGAACAACCTCGCAAGGTTCATGTTTGTTTTTTAAATAATTAAACTCGGGAACTTACATGCATGTTTGAACTGTCTCACCACGCACCATCTTGCTATCCTGCTCTCACACCATCCCAACGTCTCACCATACACCATCTCACCATGCCACCACCTCACCATGCCACCATCTTGCCATCCCACTAACACTATTCAACACCGCCTTCCCATGGCAACATCTCGGCATCTCAGAGTTCTTACCCCATGCCACCATCTCACGCTCCCATCCAAATGCTCCTATCATCTCACCATGCCACCACCTCACCATGCCACCACCTCACCATGCCATCATCTCGCCGTCCCACTCATACTATTCCACACCGCCTTCCCATAGCAGCATCACAGCATCTCAGAGTTCTTACCCCATGCCACCATCTCACGCTCCCATCCCAATGCTCCTACCACCTCACCATGCCACCACCTCACCATGCCACCACCTCACCATACTACCACCTCACCATGCTACCACCTCACCATGCTACCACCTCACCATGCTACCACCCCACCATGCTACCACCTCACCATGCCCGGTAATTCTTACCAGAGCAGCAGAGAACAAAGTTTAAGTCGACTCAAAAGCCAACTCAAATGCAGCATAGCACATCAGCAGTGGGTGCATGACGTGGAGGTGTAACTAAGGGAGGTGCTGGGTGGGGAAAGGGAACTCTTGAGGTCTGCATCAGACGATTCTCTTCCTGGTGAGTGTCAGCCAATCCTTGTGCTGGTTACTGGCAAGTGTATGGCTATGTATCAAGCCAATGCGTCTGTCTGTTCGCCCTTGTGAGCACCAGAGCACAGCAGCAGAGCAAAGCAGCCAGGCACAGCAGTCATCTCACGCTTGTCTCTGTGCCCCGATTTGAGCATGAACCAGCTGGTGCACATGTGCATCTGGTACGAGGACGATAAATACGGCACCAAGGGCGTGGAGCCGAGTGTGATCGAGCAGATGTGGAGCGAGATGGTCGACGACAGCCCCATGCTGCTAATGGACGGCGAAGGGTGAGTGTGAATGAGGGGGGATGATTGTGAGGTGAGGAGTGAGTGTGGGGACAGGACATGCTCCTATGTGAAGTTGTAGCTTGGCAGGAGAGCAGATGTGGAGCGAGATGTTGGACGACAGCCCCATGCTGCTGCGAGACGGTGAAGGGTGAATGAGGGTTGAGCATGCTAGAGGGTGAGTGTGATTCCTGCATTTTCTCACTCTGATAACCTTTATTCCCACTGTGCTTTCCCCTCTTTCCTCTCGTGCCTGCCTCTCCCTCCCACCGCAGCATCCCCTTCACAACGGACGAGATTGTGCACAGCCTGCCCGAGATAAACCTGGACGAGGTAGAACCTCCCCCCGAGCTCCAAGACGACCCCACCTTCCACTTCCTCCTCCCCCTCACCTCCGTCCCCTCCATCCCCACCGCTGCCTCTCACACTCCCCGCAACGCCTCCCCTCGTCCGCCTACCTCGGTGCCATCATCTATCCCCCGATCGGCATCGCTCTCTACCGCACATTCTCGGCCCGGCACCGCTCCCCACCCCATGGGTGGTACTCCTAGGGCTGCCGGGGCGTCGTCGGTTACGAGTACACCTCGTGTGCCGTCGAGCCCTTGGGATTACTTCAGGGGGAGAGGGGCGTGGAAGAGTGATGACGCGTGATGATGAGTTGGGTGTGAGAGAGAGGAATGAGGGAGTGGAATGAGGAGGGAGAGGAAGGAGGAACTAGTATGCTGGAGGCAGGTGGGAGATGGTAGTGGGGATGATTATGAGAAAAGAACATGTCGTGGAGGAATTTTGAGAAATTTCTAGAAAGATACCGTAAGAGGCATGAAGGCATGACATGAAGGCATGAGGGGGGATGGGATGAGGATGGGCAGGAGTGGGTGCATTGCATTTAGATTCGTCTCCACTCCAGCTTTAGTTTTCTCGTGCGGTGTTTTCTGCACAGCATGTTCCATATGCTTGCTGTAGGGCTGTGCATGTGTGATGATGCAATGTAGGCCTAGTTTAGCCTAACTTGCAGGCATCTGTTATCTGTAATTTAAATATTTGGAATGTATGATAGCACCGGGTATGTGCATCTGGACTTGTAGGGAAGCTTGAGCGGGGCGGGCAGTGTTCAAAGGGTGGTTCTCACACAACCCTTAAGGCGTGTAACCATATTGCCTTTTGCTGAAGTTGCGAATTCTCGGACTGACGGTAATTGATCGGTTCCATATCCCACGGTATTTTGTGGACGAACCGTGTTCTCAAAAGGTTGTAGGGCAAAGATCATAATCGGGCCGGAAAACAGCAGAAAAGTGGCCAATTTAGGGCCGGGTGAGTCGCGCCCCTACAATGTACGCCCGAAGCAGCGCACAGACCTGCCAGGGCAGTTCGGGCCTGGCCTAGGCGCCAGGTCACACCTATCAAACTGGCCCCGACGGATTTCGTTAAGTAGGGATGACGGAGCTGTAAAACGCATTACACAGTTTGAGCGAGATTGTGAGAGGTTCCCCACCAATCGAGAAAAGTATGTAGTAAAACGCATAAGATATTCACTTAAACTGGAAAACCATTTAGCACATGACACAACTAGTCATAAATGTAACGTTTAGATTGATAAATGGAAACATGATTTTAGTTGAAATCCAAAAACAGAATGCGTTTACAACACACAATGTCATTTTCTAAGAAAGTATCTTCACATATTACAACATCAATCTAATAAATAAAGAAATATTTCCCATCACATTTATATAGTGATATATATGTATCTATATATTTATATGACATAGATGCTAACTTTCAAAATTAGCTACAATAGATTTATCTGTGTGATACTTCTCTCACTCTCTCTTCCCATAAATATCAACTCTATATACCTCTCCATCGCAAACAATCTTGTATTGGTTTGGAAAAAGGTACAGGCATGGCAGGTTGGAAACCTAGGGTTGCCATGCCTGTACCTTTCTCCAAACCAATACAAGATTGCTTGAGACAGAGAGGTGTAGAGAGTTGCTATTTATGGGAAGAGAGAGAGTGAGAGGAGTATCACATATGTAAATCTATTGTAAATCATTTGAAAGTTAGCATGTATATCATGTATATATAGATACATATATATATATCACTGTATGAATGAATGTGATGGAAAATATTTTTTATTTAATTTATCTAGATTAATGTTGTAATATGTGAATATATGGCATGTGTGCTGTAAACGCATTCTGTTTTTGGATTTTAACTAAAATCATGTTTCCATTTATCAATCTAAACGTTACATTTATGACTAGTTGTGTCATGTGTTAAATGGTTTCCCAGTTTAAGTGAATATTTTATGCGTTTTCCTACATACTGTTCTCGTTTGGTGGGGAACCTCTCACAATCTCGCTCAAACTGTGTAATGCGTTTTACAGCTCCGTCACCCCTACTTAACGAAATCCGTCGGGGCCAGTTCGATAGGTGTGACCTGGCGCCTAGGCCAGGCCCGAACTGCTCTGGCAGGTCTGTGCGCTGCTTCGGGCGTACATTGTAGGGGCGCGACTCACCCGGCCCTAAATTGGCCACTTCCCTGCTGTTTTCCGGCCCGAGTATGATCTTTGCCCAAGGTTGTACGGTATCTGGTTCCGTCTCGTGTGCGCCGTCGCAAGGTCCTCTACGAACGGATTTGCGAATTTAACGACCTTAGTAACGTCGATCTTGCACGAACGGTTTGCTTAGCGAACTTCAACTGGTAAAATGGTTACAAGGCTCTGTAGTTGCACCAGTGCGAGCCCGTCCGACCCATCTGGAGGGAAGTTGGGAAAGTTTGTGCGATACGTCATGAGAATCCAGCACGCCCTTCCCCCTTACATCACCCCTGCATCTCAAACGGAACTACTTGCACGTACTTCCTTACTGAAAGCGGTTTGGTAGCGGCTTAGGGTCCGCTTCGAGGTTTTTCTCTGCGCAGTTGTTTATTTCTTGCGGTTCAGTAAACGCCATGGCGGACGTAGGGGGATACATGCCGCCGCAGGAGCCAGTAACTTACATGTGCGGGGGTATGATCGTTCTCCCCCGCCCTGGCTTCAGTTCCTCTTGTTAACTCTTAAGCCGCTCCCCTCCTCGGAAGCGTCTTCTTCAGTTGTTCTACAGTTAGTCTTCTCATTCCTTGTGTTATTCGGTCGTGTTTATGCGTGCCAGAATGCGGTGCTGATAACACGTTGAAGCCCGGAGACGTGATCCAATGTCGAGAGTGCGGTTATAGAATTCTTTACAAGAAAAGAACGCGGCGCAGTAAGTCCCCTCGCGGCGTGTGTTGACAACTTGTTGTTTCCGCAAGGTCCAAGAGTGGTTGAGGAATCGTTGAACCCGGAAACCCGAAACCCACTTATGCCCAAACCCGTGTTCCAGATCTTGTTTTGTTGTTTGTTTTTTCTGGGTAACCTCGGTTGCGTCTTATTGTGTTATCGATCTCACTATGCTGTTGTTATTTTTCTTCAATAAATGTTCAATTTCATCATACTCTGAGTACCCGTGACCATGTCACCATGCCACCATGCCACCATGCCACCATTCCACCATGTCACCATGCCACCATTCCACCATCTCACCATGCCACATTTCACCATCTCACCATGCCACATTTCACCATACCACATCCCGCCCAGCTCTTCTGTGCCCTGCATACCCCATCCTAACTTCTATGCTAAACCATATCCCACCATGTGTCCATTTCCCACCCTCCCACTCTGTGCGATCAGTTGTGCAATTTGAGGCTCGGTGAACTCAGAACCCGTCTTTAGCCCCGTCAGGCCCGCATGCCTGCACCTTACTGTTCTACTGGTCAAGGTTTGCAGCTTGCACCGGCAGAGACCCCATTATATTTGTAAATGTGAAATAAAAGCGCTGCTGCAATATGCTGCTGCATATGAGGGCGTCCTGCTAGCGAAATATGGGTGAAGTTGATGTGCATACATGTTACATCCGAGAAACTCATGTTGTACCGTGGTAGTGCTTTCTTTCTTTAGGTGTGATGTTGGTTCGTAGGTACTGTCTGACAGATAAGAATCACCACATAGAGTCAGGTAACAATTGAGCTAAAGCAAAAGGAAAAACAACAATACATGTGACATACGGTATTTTTGCAACTCTTTACCAGCAGGTTTCTTGATACGGTACCGGTAGTAGGATCCAGCTCTTGTTGGAGGAGCAGGAGGCAATGATGGGCTGCGAGGGATGAAACATGGAACACTGCGTTGTTCACCTGCCCGCTGCACTAAGGGTACATTCCTGTGTCGACATTTGTGTCTCAATCGGTTTGTGACGCGTAGAAACAACATAAAACATACCATACAATGTCACAAACGCGTGTCGTCCTTGTGCGACATGTACAATATTTTTATTGGTCAGCGTGAAACGCACTGACGTCGCGGACGAGTTGCATATTGACCCGTCACTGTCAAAAAGTCGCTCGCGGTTCGAAAAGTCAATGCACCTGGACACCGCACAATGCCAATCTCGCGCGGGAAAAATTTCCGCTCGTCGAAACCCCACCCCAGCCATGAGATTGAAGAAACAGGTGTACAGTAATGTTTGAAATCCAATCAGATGTGCACAGCTGTAAATTTTGCCTGGTCGTACAGTTTCGTGATACATTCAATTTTTGTGACGCGAGATTGACAAAATGTTTACACGCTAATGGGAAAAGGGGATTGAGACACAAATGTCGACACAGGAATGCACCCTAAGTTCAAGGCAGGTGGCCTTTACTTGATGGAGGGATCGAGCTCGCCCAGGTAGATGCGCTTGTCAGAGGAGCAGGAGCCGATGATGGGCTGTGAGGGATGAAACACCGCCTCGTTCACCGACCCGTTGTGGCCGGGCAACTGCCAGGCACGTGTGAGAGATGTGATGGGAGTAAGATGGGGATGGAGATAAGGCGCCTCAAAACTAGCACAGTAACCCCCATACCATGCAGCCGGAACGTACTTTGTACCAAGGGCCATGCGTCATAGCATAACCCTGTTGCCTCCATGAGTAACCCGATACCTTGAGAGGAGCTGGCCAAGTAGACCTTGGCTGTATCGAACTTGGCAAATGGTGGTGTCCCAGACAAAAACGATGCAGTCAAGATGAACCTTGCATCAAAAGGTCAGTATATTACATGATAAACCAAACAACCCCCGTACCTTGTAGAGGATGCGTCGCATGGTGGTGTCCCACACATACACCATGCGGTCGGCGTGTACCTTGTGCTGATAAAGCCTCGCCTAGCCCTTCCAACATCCACCCACCCCTGTACCATGTATATTCAATCACCCCCGTACCTTGTACAGGATCCGCCGCATCGTCGTGTCCCACACATACACCATGCGGTCGGCATTTACCGTGTGCTAAAGCCCAACCCTTTCAGCTCCCTTTTGAGACGTCTCAAAAACACGTGTGCTAAAGCCTTTCAGCTCCCACCCCTCACACCACAACCTGTACCCTCCATAGTCAGCCCCCGTACCTTGTACAGGATGCGGCGCATGGTCGTGTCCCACACATACACCATGCGGTCGGCGCTGCCAGCTGTCACGCGGGAGCCGTCCGGCGACCAATCGCATTTGAGCAGATTCTTCTCCACGCTGTGCTGGTGCCCCGTGAAGATCTTCACACACCGGTTCTGGCCAATGGGGACACGGAAAGGGGTCGTTTGGAGCATGGGAGGGAAGGGTTAGCGTGCGGAACAAAGGGCGGAGGGAGGAGTGGCAGGCACAGGCCTCACAACAACCGCAATTGAGCAGATTCTTCTCCACGCTGTGCTGGTGCCCCGTGAAGATCTTCACACACCGATTCTGTCCGATGAAGATGCGGGAAGGGGGAGGGTAGGGGGGGTGGGAGGGGGGGAGGAGAAAGAAAAGTGCAGCAAGTGCAGCAAGTGCACGCCGATCGCATTTGGAGCCGGTTCTTCTCGACGCTGTCCTGGTGCCCTGTGAAGAGCTTCACACACCGGTTCTAGGCAATGAAGAGGATGGGGGAAAAGGGGAGTTAGCGAGGTGCATGCGGAGCAAAGAGGTGGAGCGGGGAGGCTTGGAGGGGCCTTTAACCAATCGCATTTGGAGCACAGTGAAGGAGGGGCTAGCATGCAGAGAAAAGAGGCGGAGGGAAGAGCGTTGCGCTAGGCGGACGGACGCCTCACACCAATCGCATTTGAGAAGGATCTTCTCCCCGCTGTGCTGGTGCCCTGTGAAGATCTTCACACAGCGGTTCTGGGCTTTGGGAGGCAGAAATGGGGCGGGGACGGGGGCGTTTGAAGCATGGGGGGGGAAGTGTGCAGAACAAAGAGGCGGAGGGAAACATACCTGCGGTGCATAGGGACGGAGGTCCCAGATGCGCAGAGTGCAGTCCATGTCGTTGGTGAGCAGATAGGCGCCATCAGGGCTGACTCTCATGCCTGTGATCGTATCTGTGTGCCCCAGCAGCCTCATCACCGGTTCCGCTCCCTTGCTGCCCCCGTCACCCACTCCCCCCCACCCCTGTTTCTGTCATCGTTGGGCGTACGGTTTGGCTCTCGATTGAGGTGCAAAGAGCACAGAAGGGAGGATGGGCGTACCTGGGGTGCATAGGGCCGGAGGTCCCAGATGCGCAGAGTGCAGTCCATGGCGTTGGTGAGCAGATAGGCACCGTCCGGACTAAGTCTCATGCCCGTGATCGTATCCGTGTGCCCCAGCAGCCTCATCACCGGCTCCGCTCCCTTGCCACCCCCACCGCCGCTGCCGCCCTCTGCTTCGTCATCTCCTCCTTCCCCTCCCGCCCCTGCTGCTGTGGAAGTGCCGCCTGATTTCCGGAGGTCCCAGACCTTTATTTGGTTGTCAATTCCGCCCGAGTACACTTTGTCCCCGTTATAAGAGAACGCCACGGCTGTGACCTGCGGGATGGACGAAGGGAGCGAGTTTGGTTGGGATGTGTGCAGTTTCAGCCAATACAGAACGTCATTTTGAAGAGAAACAGGTCGAGCACCAAATACCGAGCACGCACGCACACACGCATGCGTACAAGCACGCCAGCACGCTTACGTGCCGTGTCGGCCGTTAGTCCCCTAATGGCCAACACGCTAATGAGGCTCTCATTCTCAGTCACTCCACGCAACGCCTCATGCCCACAGCAGCCCCTTCTGCAAAGACACTCGACTGGTGCACGAATACGAATACGAATACGAATACTTTTCCTGTATATTCTCCGAATACTGGGTAATTTCTTATTTGACCGAATACTGACCCAAAACCGAATACGAATACGATTCGAATACTACCGAATCCGAATCGAATACGAATAAGTGTCGAGTAATATTTTTTTTTGTATACCCAGTGTCGAACGGCTAATGCATGTTCGACACAGGGTGATACAATGCACCTCATAAGATCAACACCACTACTCAATCCCCCACCAAGACCTTCCTCAACCCCGCTCAAGCAACTATCTTGCTAGGCTTTTGAGCACGGTTCTCATGAGGCCTCTCTCATGATAGCTGCATGGGGGGGGGAGGGGTGATGGTAGAGTTTCGAATAGTAACGAATACCCCGAATATCCGTTAGCCGAATATTCTACATTCACGAATACTCGTGATGCGAATATTTCCGAATACACGGCCGTTTCTTATTCTCTCGAATACAGGTATTCGAACGAATATCGAAGAATTCTCGAATACCGAATATTCTTGTACAGCCTTACATATGGGCCGTCCCACAGGGCACCCACGGAGACTTTACCGAGGAACAGTTTTGAGTCGACTCAAACCTAGGCTAAAAAATTGAGTCGACTCAAAACTAGGCTCAAAATTTGAGTCGACTCAAAACTAGACTCAGAAGTTGAGTCAACTCAAAACTAGGCTCAAAATTTGAGTCGACTCAAAACTTCTGCCAAGACACTCGAGTGGTGCTTACGGGGCCGTGCCGTGCCGTGCCACAGGGGACTATGGGCCCTCCGTCCACAGGGCACCCACGTAGTCTTTACATGCATCCCCTGACCTGACGACGCGCATGTCCCACTGCTTGACCGCCCCGTCGTCGCTCCCACTGACTGTGAGCGGAGGGCCTCTGGGGGCCGGGCAGCATCCCGCCTTAGGGCAGCAGATGAGGGGCGTCTGATTTTGAGGCGGCTCAGAACAGCCTCTGCGGACCAGACCAGGCAGCAGCTGCAGTGCAGCCTCTGCGGACCAGACCAGGCAGCAGCTGCAGTGCAGCCTCTGCGGACCAGACCAGGCAGCAGCTGCAGTGCAGCCTCTGCGGACCAGACCAGGCAGCAGCTGCAGTGCAGCCTCTGCGGACCAGACCAGGCAGCAGCTGCAGTGCAGCCTCTGCGGACCAGACCAGGCAGCAGCTGCAGTGCAGCCTCTGCGGACCAGACCAGGCAGCAGCTGCAGTGCAGCCTCTGCGGACCAGACCAGGCAGCAGCTGCAGCGCAGCCTCTGCGGACCAGACCAGGCAGCAGCTGCAGCGCAGCCTCTGCGGACCAGACCAGGCAGCAGCTGCAGCGCAGCCTCTGCGGACCAGACCAGGCAGCAGCTGCAGTGCAGCCTCTGCGGACCAGACCAGGCAGCAGCTGCAGTGCAGCCTCTGCGGACCAGACCAGGCAGCAGCTGCAGTGCAGCCTCTGCGGACCAGACCAGGCAGCAGCTGCAGTGCAGCCTCTGCGGACCAGACCAGGCAGCAGCTGCAGTGCAGCCTCTGCGGACCAGACCAGGCAGCAGCTGCAGTGCAGCCTCTGCGGACCAGACCAGGCAGCAGCTGCAGTGCAGCCTCT